TTTGACACAATCCTATTTAGGCCAAGAAAAAATTGTTCTTTGGGCTACAGGACAAATAGTCGAGCGACTTCTTAATTGTGTTGGTCTTACAATAGCAGCTGATGATACAGAAATTGCGATGGCATTATTATCAAATGTTAACTTACGTTTCGAATATACTGAGCTAGGTAAAAACATTATAAATATTTCAAAACCATAGAAAAAGGTTCAAAATATTTTTATTTAACGATTTCAATCTTCTTCGTTTTTGTAAGTTAATATCTGAAAAGAAAACTAATATATAAAAAAGTATTTTTTCTTGTAGATTAAATGAAATCAGTTCAATAATTATTCTATCAAGAACAAAATAAAAGCTTTTTTTGCCAATGTTGTTTATTTATTTTTCATTTATTTGACACTTTCAATAATAAAAACACAACATTTTTGCCCATTAATCAAGAATGAAAATAAATTAAATTGAAAATTTTCATTTTAAAATCATAAATTTTATTCATTTTCAGATACTCTATAATACCTATTATTATAGTTAATTAATAAAATATATTTTAATTTTGATGGAAACATTATCGAAACAAATCAATCATATGAATTCAACAATTGTTGGTAAGATTATTCTCATACTTTTTTTTATTAAAACTGCAATAAAATTATTATTATAGGACAATCTGATAGTTCTATTGTCGAACAAAATATTCAAGGTTCAATTGTAATGGTAAATCGTCGAAAACACTATGCATTTATTAAAAGGTTTGTTTCTTTTAGCTATATTCATCTAAATTTTTTCCTATAGAATGGATAATGTTCAACAACGCGATATTTTTGCACGAGATTCGTCTATAATTAGCAAAACACAAATTCCAAACTTTTTAATATCTGACAAATGCACATTTGATATGAAAAAAAGTACTAAAAAATTTCATATTTCCTTTATAAGAAAATTTTTATAATTTTTTTTAAGCTGATCGTGGCTTCGAAGCTATTAACATCAATATCGAATCAAGAACCATAACTGGTACGGATAAATTCAAACGAATACCAAGAAAAAGAGCTCAACAACTAAAACCAACCGATACCACACTTCTATTTCAAACAACAATGTAAAACTTGTATAATGTGATAAGATAAATATTATTTGTTTATGTTTTTAGAATTCAACTATTCCACGCTGCAGCAAAATCAATCAAATAAATAAAATATATTCTTCTTAATAAAAAAGAATTAATATTATTTCTCTTTTGTTTATTAATTAAACAAATACATTAATAAATTATCATGTCAAAATTTATGTATCTGTTTTAATAAATGATTACAAAATGAAAAACCTTTCTTTCGTTTTAATATACATCAATAAATGTCAAATATCACTTTTATCAAAAATTTTAAAAAAAAAATTTTAAACGATGAATGATATAGAGTATTGAAGACATTCTATAAAATATTGTATCTTAACATATTATAACGATATTTAAAAAAAATTATATTAATTTATTTTTCTCGGGAAATCAAACAAAAAAACCATGCTTATATTACTTTACTCTATGTGCCTTTCAATCAATGTATAAAAATACATTCATAAAAAATGCACACAATAATCTTTTCAATCATTTGTTTAAATGAAGATTAATAATGTACTTGAGAATAATATAGAAAAAAAAAGAGACTTGCAATTATTTTGAGACATGAAAACAGTTTACATAACCTTTCACCAAGAAAAGTGAAATTCTCTCAATTCCAAGGACTTAAACTTCTAAATATCAGTCAATATAATAAAAAAAACTGAGAATTTTGTAAAAAAACTATATATGTTGTAAGCAAAAAAAAAAATATAATGTGAGAACAAACATGGTCTTTCGCTAGATTCTTTGCTTTAAATAAAAAACTCAAAATGTTTATTAATAAGTACTAATAATTGACGGAATAAATTCTTCTAATGAACTTTTCTTTGCGAATTATTTTGTTTTCTTTTTTCTTNCGGCTCGAAATCTGCCGCTGCCGCACCGCGATGATTTTTTAAAATTTTCTGCTCCCGCGCCACTGCCGCGCCGCGATGAATTTCCAAAAAGTCTGCCGCTGCCGCGATGGTACTCGAAAAAAAGTTTCGAATTTCATCGCTGTGAATGTATTGAAATACAATTCTTGTCACTAATCGATGAGATTCATTGAGTCTTAGAGTGTTACGTTTGTGGACACTCAATTTTTGGCAAATTCATGAAGTTTTGACAATGTCTTCTAAAAGGAGTCTGCCACTGCCGCGATGATATTTTCAAATTTCTCCCGCGCCGTGATGATTTAAAAAAAACATGCCGTGCCGCTACCCGCCCCCGCGGCAGCGCCGCGATGGACATCTCTGGTTAATGTCCTGATAACTCTTCTCTTTGTCAACACTCACACGCGTCTTCTATGTTGTCTATCTCGTCTTACATTGAACTGCATCAATAAGATAAGTTTTCATAGAACCGTTGCATTTTTGTTATGTGCATTTGATCAACTCATACATTTACTACTGAAACTAGATGTTAATTTATAAGTGTCTGATCCATTGATCATATCAAGTGACACTATTCAACATTTATGTATGGATCATCTCGATTCATCAGCAACTTATTATCTTAATTTAATACTCACTATTAAAAATGGCATGAAAGATAAATTAAGTTTCAATTCGTTCGTTAAGAGTCCATTTACTAATCAATGAAGATCAAAAATATTTATTCTAAATACTTATTTTTTTAAATAATGATTATGATAATTATTGTTTTATCGTGTTTATTTTATCCTGTAGTGATATTGAATTTAAAAAGTCAATTATTGCTTAATATCCTTAAACGTATGTATAATATAAGTTATTTACTTCTTCGAAGATATATTTTCTTTATTAGACCTTGTCAAGTGTCAATTACAGGAGTATATTTGTTTCTACGTTCTGATCAATGATATATTAGTAGTGATCAAAACAACGAATGCTTTGCAAATCTTGACAATTGTGTAAGTTCTCTATCATCACTAGCCCCATAGTCATTACTTACAAAAACTACTATTGATGATAGTCATTCTGTTAGTGCTATTTAATTAGAAGCTATACTACGAATTGCTTGTAGTTTAGATATATAGGAGTTGGGTGCTGATGAGAATATTCTAAACCGATTGATATTTTGTAACACTGATTTGTTCGGAATGCGTGTTAATCAACAAGTGAGTATGTCTATTTATATTAATAATTATCTTTTATTTCAAAAAATATCTTTTTTATCTGAAAACTTATTTAATTGAATGAAAAATTTTTTGTTGAGTTTGGATATATTATATAGTTAAAATGTATTTTGATTTGTATTCAAATATTAAACATTGGTTAATTAGATGCGATCACTTACTACGCATGATTGTACAGTGACAATGGCTAATGCTCAATATTTTTGTCGATTACTTTGCAATCGACTACCTTAATCTAACCATTTACAGCAACCTGTTCTACTTTATATGCGTTTTGACTATTGATTTCAGTCTTTAATTTGAGGACAACTGCATGAGCATCCACTTAATCGACCTTATCGACTACAATTTTAAAGTCCAATATTTTTTTTTTATAAGAAATAATTCTAGACATGAAATTAATTATGTAAGATAAGCTAATTTACTGAATTGAGTGAGAATGCCCCCATATTATACCAATTTGTCTAAGTCAAAGAATATGTATGCATTAAGGTCCAACTTGAGTCGGTTTACGAAAGAATCTTAGGGTTTCAACAAAGATCTGGTGTCTGAACATTTTTCAAATAGACAAGAAATGTGACTGTGTTTTTTTTTTCATTTAAAAATTATGTCAACAACCATAAAGAAACTTCGTAGAACAAGAAGTTATATGTCATACACTATTTTCTTGTACTTCACTGACATTTTTAGTTTACATTGGACACCCATTCGTAGCGAGTGCCCTGCAGAAGTGTCAACGGGACAAAGATAAGATCTTTATACCTTGCAAACTAGAAAATGAGATATTCGAATTTTCATCTTGGAAAAGAGCATTTTATGAATCTTTCAGAGTCAAAAATAAAAAGTAGACTGTAAAAGATGGTATTAGTTGGTATTCAGAGTTTATCGCAACAAAAGTATTAGCGTCTTGATAGCATCTTTTTAAAATATATTTGACTACTTCAAATATTATCGTACGTTTCGTTATAGATCTGCAAGTGGAACAAAGCGCTTTGTCAAACATAAAAATCGATGCTTTCTAAATTGGACAAAAGCATGAAACATCGTACGATAATATTATATAGTGAGAAGAACGTCAACAAAAATGATGAAAAATAATACATACGAGAAGAATCACAAACTGATGACGAGGTGAATAAATGACCAAGTACATAATTGTTTATTCAGAGTCATGAGTAAAAGTGCAATTTTTATTTGAATTCGATGTCACTCATCATTTTTACATAAGCCATTAATATCAATGATACTTATATTCGAAACTTGTTTGGAAAATAACATCATGTGTCATGGGTTTTCTTCTTATAATGTTTAAGATGAATCATAAGATTGTCGATACGAATGAATGGTTTTCTCTTACACCTGTATGTGAAAAAAAAAATAATGTCTACGATGTATCTCCATGATATAACATCTATAATTATGAAAATTTTCCCTACACCATCCTAAATGTTCTTAACTATGAGTAATAACTGTCTTAGTTCTTTTCCATATTGAAAAGTATATAAGGGAACAGAATTTCAAGACACTCTACACTTATACACTACAGTACTGTTTACATTCTCAAATCAATAACAATGTTTCTTCTTCTTCTACTATTGCTCTTGACCAATGTGCTCTCAGTCTGGGGTCATGGGTTTCTATTCGATCCACCAGCACGCAGTACTGCCTGGATAGTTATTCCCGATTTTCGTAGTTGTTGCACCTATTACGATCACATGCAAATGTTCTGCGGTGGCGTTCCAGTCCAATATGGCGAGAACAGTAGAACTTTTTCTTTGTTTGCTTGTACATATTTACATCTTTGGCATCTTTTAGATGGTAAATGTGGTATTTGCGGTGAGCCATACAATCAAGTAAACAAGTTGTTTGAAATGGGTGGTTCGATGTATAAGGGAACGAGCGTCAAAACCTATAACCAAGGACAACAAATCAGTGTTAAAGTCAATGTAAGTGAATAATATACGGAGAATTATCATAGAATAGAATTCTTTATTGTGATATTTAGTTGACTGCCAATCACATGGGCTACTTTGAATTTCATCTGTGCAATGTTGATACCACCCCTAATTCTGATGCCACTCAGGATTGTCTCGATCGTCGTATTCTCAAACTTGCCAATAGCGATTTAACTAAGTACTCAATTACTGGTGCGATAGGTAATTCTCAGATTATTGTCAACTTGCAATTACCTGCCGGTGTATCCTGTCAACATTGTGTCTTTCAATGGAAATACACAGCAGGTAACAGTTGGGGCACGGATCCAATCACTGGACAACAAGGCTTGGGTCTAGGTACCGAAAATGAAACGTTCATGGGCTGTGCCGATATTACCATTGTTGGCGGAAGTGTACCTGCCAGTACGTCGTCGGCAGTGACGAGTTCTACGAAAGCGTTAGTTTATTCCTGATTCATTGTCATATATTTTCTGATTCTCTCTTGTCTTTAACAGGCCACAATCGACAACGACCAGTCAATCAAATCAAGGTGATGTGCCACAATGGTCGCCCAACGTTGTTCAATATCACGCGCGTGACCTAGTAATGTACGCCGGTGTGAAGTATCGATGCATTCTCGCACACACTTCCTTTCCTGGTGCTTATCCTAGTCCTGTCACTTGGGCCTGGTGGTCAGCTGTTGTTTGATGGCACTCATTTGTTATTGATCAAAGATTGATTTTGTATGTTTTCCTGTTTATTTCGAATATAGCTAAAACATGTGAAACAAATGTATTTTTAGCCTAATAAAAGATCATTCAAGTAATTCATCTATGCTGAGATACAGCTTTCTACATATCACATCAATCAAAAATTTCTTTGGCTAAAAGACATCATTTAAGATAAAATAATCTGTATTCAACAAAAACTCATGTCATCCACAAGTAGCAGTAATTTTTCTTAAGAAAAATTTCTCATTAAAATTTTTTAAAACGATTTATTTTTTTATATGCATTCTCTTTGATCAAATCTTTGAAAATTAATTATTAGAGCAAATTATTTTATTCAAAAGCAATAAAGTGGTCAACTTTAAATCAATCTAAAATTTAAAACTATTTCCTTTTTTGCTTAAACTTAATTTTCTTCATTTTCACAAATGAAAACTAGCTGCTTCCAATTGTATTTATATTTTTATAAACAATTAAAAATAATGAACTTCATATCGAGAAGCTTAGCCAAGTTTTTGAAAGATTTCGTCATATCATACAAACTGAATATATTCGACCAAACACTTTCCACATTTTTACAACAAATTTAAATATTTCTTTCACTTCAATTTAAAAACAAATATTGTTTCGCAGTAAAATTTATGAATTACATCAACAAAAATTGATTTCAATTTAGATTTCTAAGATTTATTACTAAGTAAAAGAAAATGTGTTTACAAACTAAACCATTTTATTGAAAAGATAAAATAATTATTCGTCATTAATTCATGCATAAAAACTAAACCTGTCTCGTGAAAAGAGACATGTCTATGTTGAACAAATTATTTTAATTAACAAATTGAAACCAAAATAACCAAGATATATATATGTATATTATCATGATTTATATTCGTTGCTCTTTTTGTCTTTTTAACGAAACATTTATTTTTACTTTGAAAGTTAAACGCTCTTTTGTTCATATTTGACCACATTTGTTATTTCATATTGTTCAAATTCAAATAGAAAATTCTTAGATAATATTCTCAAATATTTTAAACAAAACAAAAACAAAATATTCACTCAAATTTATTATCGTTTGTCCTATAATTAATTAAATAAAAAGAGTATCATTCAATTAAGTCAACACATCTTATTTCAATTAAATTTAGAAAAAAAAAAAATAATGATGACGAATAATTAATGAATCATTTAATTTAATATATGATAAATGAAAGTATTTTTAAAAAAGAAAACTGAAAGAAGATCTCTATTGATTCGTTTCGAATGATCTTCTTAAAACCAAATCGATTTTTTCTGTCACACAAATTTTCTCTTTGAATTTTTTCGAAATTAAAAATAATATTTCAATGAAAATATTAAATATATGTTCCAATATAAATATATTAGTTTTGATTTCAATCGATGACTAGTGACATCGTTTAAATATTATTTTAATAAATGATTCTTACTTTCAAAAACTATCATTTTTCATTTATATATCAGAAGATCGAATCATTTTTTCCTATAATTCCATGTAAGTTGCACGTTGTATATTTGTCGAAAAAACATAATTCAATCATAGTCAATATTATTTTTTAAAATGAAAAAAAAAATCTTTATTATAATAATAATTATTTCAAGTTAAATTTGTTGGGATAAATTTCATAATATATATCTATGATCTACTTCTTATTTGCAAATATAAATTAAATTAACATTTAACTATAGTAGATAATTTTCAAACATTTATTTTACTATAGAAATGACAAATCTTAGCAAGTTTTTATAAAAAATTCTATTTTTCAAAAATGATTTTCGAATATTTGATTATACAAAGCACATAGAGATAAGAAAAATTTTCAAGAATATTTTAATAAAAAATTTATTAATTTTTTTGTGAAAAGTGACTTACTTTGTAGAATAGGTCAAGTTTTTAAGTAAACAAAAGTAAATCATCAAGAATGAATTGAAAAAATTTGCAGAAAACTATATTTTACTATTATAAATGAAAAATATGAGATTTATTTTAATATTTTATAAGAATTCCTAAATGTTTATATCATATTAGAGAACATTGAGATTTATAATTGAAATTTGAAATTGACAGAACTCCTTAAAAAAAAACGTCTTTTTATCATAATAATATTAAACAAGTTTTCAAATAGATAATTATATATAATCGAAAAATATTGACGAAGTAAATTGATTTTTTATTCTTGATTTATGTTATATTGATAATGGCCAATAAAGAATGATCGATTTAACAATTTAAATTAAAGTTAAAGAAAGATTTCTCACTATATTATTATTATAATCAATCTTGATTACTTAATAAATAATCGATTTGAGATCTTCTCCCCAGAATTTAAATCGATCTATAGAAATAGTAGTTACCTTTAACCCTTTCAGGACCGGCTTATTTTGAGCAAAAATTACAAATTTTTCAATTTTTCAAAAATGATTTATTCTTCTCAGATTTATCAAAATGTGAACATCAGAAGGCTTTCAAAGTGTGATATTGTTTGAAACACTCCGGGTTACATAGTGGAACATCACAATCTGGACAATAAAACCTTGTATCGCTTCGTTTTTTTTCTCGCTTGACTGTATGACTACNGCGAAGCCAAAACTCTTCTAAGTAAACGCAGTGACCCGGTTTTTAGAGACCTAGAGAGAAAACCGTCAAGAAACGTTGCAAAAAATATCCATAATATACAGTTCGATGCGTGTAAACACCCTCTTTCTAACGGTGAAAATCGTAGCTCCCTATCATGTACCTATCAAAAGTTATTTGAAAAATACCCACTGCTCTTCTATTTTGAAATGGATATTAGTACTATTATTCACCTTTATTCTTCCTTTCGGCAATCTGATTTATTTAAATTCATGATCTATTTCATAGTAAATTAAAATACTCATCAACTATTATCAATAACCAAAGCAACAGTTCTTTCTATCTCTATTTCTAATTATCTTATTTATATCTAATTAGTGAATGACACATATTCGTTCGTGCTTTATATTATAACATTGCGCAACAACAAGAAAATGAAAACAAAAGTCAAAACTCAACAAAATCGACTAACAACTCGCTCATTCCATTTAACGAAGAAAGAGAAAAAACACTCACAACGTAATACCTGGCTAAATTTTATTCCTCTAGTTGCACTAAATCATTTATCTTCATTTCTTACTGGTTACGACGCACTATCATTTGCTCAATGTATATCAAATACAGCAATGTCATCAGAAAGACATTTTTGGCAGTTATTAGGACAGTAAGTTGTTGTACATTAATATTTAATTGTAACGTATCCTTAAGAAAGCATATATTTTCTCTCGAAGTATAAGTTTTAAATTTGTCGCAAATCAATACATATCGCATAAAAAAAAACATACATTATCAAGTTTAATTACCAAAACCCATATGAGTCTTTCAATGAACTAGAAAAAATAATTCACGAAAAAAAATATTTCTTTAAATTCTTTATTATTATAATTGTTTTAGCAAACGAGATCAAAAAAAGCGTATGATATTTCCAATACCCAAATTTAATTCTTATAGTTTAACTATCAATCATTACATTCAAATGTCATCAAGTCGCCGATATTGTCGCTTTATATATGATGGCTTTTCATTTGATTCTCTAAAAAGAGTTATGAATTGCTGTAATAGTAATTCATTTCAAACATATATTCGTCTATTTTCATATTCACCTCATTTCTCAACACACACAATGCCTATATTTTCATTCTTCGACTACTCTTCAATGTATGCATATAGATGTTTGAATTCAATAGAATTGAAATTATTCCGTATATGCCGTCCAGGTATATTCAAACAAAAACCTATTATTGTTGACAATATTCAACAATTTATTATAAATTTGAATAGTCGTTTCAATTTTTTTCTAATTAAAAAATATATCAATTTTTCATTATTTCTTCTGGCTGGTAAGTCAAACAAAGAAAATATTTCTGTATCAATTTTTATGAAAACAAAAATTTAATAGGTGGTGCTGTTTTGAATTGTATGTTAATCAATGCATTCAATTCATCAACACAAGACTTAGATTTCTTTTGGTTAGGTGGTAGTTGGATTTTGTTCAGTAACGCAGTTGATCGATTTAAAAGAAAAATTCAATCAAGAATTCTAGAGGAAAAAAATATTCATGGAATTATAATCGAATTTGTTCTTTTGATCAACGAAAACCAAAAACTTCGAATTCAATTTATATTCGGCCGTGAAAACTCAAAAATTCCATTTATATTACATACCTTTGATTTAGACATTGTTCAAGTCGGCTTCGATGGATCTAAAATAGTTTCAGTATGTCATATTAAACTACTTTTTTAAAAATTCTTTTACTTTTGAAGACACTCGGATTTTGTCAAGCCATTGCAACTCGAACATTTATTTCATATCGCGTCACTAATAATATTAATGATACCATCTACTACTTAGATCGTTGTTTTAAATACAATATACGAGGATTCTCATGGCTTTGTCCAATTCAATACAATGATATTCTAGCACAGAAACCATTGATCTCGAGAAAAAAAACAATCGATTATGCATTCAATGATTTTTATTTTAATGTTGATGCATTCGAAATTCAAATGAAATTTTTAAATTTCGATTTATTCAATTAAATACCTATTAAATAGTAAGTCTCTATTACAATAAACACAAATAACTATACGACTTATCTCATATTATATTTAGAAAAAATTATATCTATCATAATCAAGATTATTTTATTTAT